CTACTACTACTAGTGTTGATTTGTCCTTGTTTTGTTTAAGCCTTTCTTCTAGTTTTTATTTATGGTATTCTTGTTTAGGTCATATTTTATCTTCTCATCTGATATTTTTAGCATCCACGGGAGCTTTAGAAAATTTACAAACTTGTGATATTTTTTTTTTATTGTAATAGATATAAACTAGCAAATTTTTTTACTTTGCCTTTCAATTGAAGTATTTATGTTTCTTCTTCTCTATTTGATTTGATTCATTATGATATATGAGGACCTTTTCATGTTGCCACAAAAGAAAATCCTCAATATTATGTTTCTTTTATTCATGATCACACTTATTATTGTTGGATCTGTTTAATGAAACATTATTTTGAATTATTTGAGATATACACAACCTTTTGAACTCTTATAAAAAATTAATATTATGTTGTTATTTGAGATATTATGTTGTAGAGATCATGCCTCTAATAAATTTTATAAGTGTTTGCCTAAGATGAAACCATTCACAAAACTCCATGTATAGATACTCTTGAGCAAAATAGCGTTGCTAAAAGAACACATTAACACATTATTGAAATTATTCATTCTCTCTTGTTCTCTAAATCTATTCTAGTGTGTTTTTGGAAGAAATTATCTTTATTGCTACAAGTTTGATTAACACAATTTCATCTTCTCATATTTCATGTTTTTCTCTTTTTCAAAAGTTGTATAGGTATACTTTAAATATTCTTTCTTTAGAGTTTTTGGTTGTACTTGTTTAGTTTTTTTCTCATGTCGAACATAATAAATTTTCTTCTTGATCTGCTATTTGTGTCTTTCTTAGTTATATTAAAGGTATAAATGGTACCATTGTTTTAATTCAATAACTCAAAAACTTTATATGTCTCATCATGTTGTCTTTCTCAAACATATACCTTTCCTTTTTATTCCATCCACTACTTATGACTTGACTAGATCTGATCTTATTAATATAGTCTTTTTATGAGGATTCTGATTGTTAATCATCTTTGGTTCCTTATACTTCATTTACCACTTCTTATGTGACACGACTAAAAGATTGATATCTTCTCCTAAATATAAGAGTGTTGAAGTAATAAATAACCCGGCAAAACTAGGGTCAAACCACAGGGAGGTTAATTATACAAATTATAAACAACAATTATAAACAACAACAATAGTAAAAACAATAATATTAGTTGCAATAATAATAATAATAATAATAATAATAATAATAATAATAATAATAATAA